GCATGTGAAAAGAAAGATTATATGCAGCATACAACCCACTACCTGGGGGCTATAATAATACTGATTAATGTGCATACATTTTGTCTCTATTGTATTCCCATCCATGTTTAATAATCTTTCCACTTGTAGCATAAATAAACTTGTAACAGCCAATCTTGTTTTAATCTTCAGAAGGATGTTTAGACACCTCTGTGACAGACTTTTAAAAACACACCTAGTCTCAAACAGCATTTGTCACAAAGAGCTCCCAAAGCATTTCTTGGGAAAACTGCCCACCATGTCCTCTCGCTGGGCTAAGAGCTAACACACTCCACAGGAAGAAGCCAGCTCACAGCATCATTACAAAAGCCATAAAGAAAAGTTATTAAAATCACTCTTTAGTATCTCAAGAAAGTAATCCACTCCTATTAGGGTGAATACAAACTATTTCTGTGAATCACAAAATAAGTTGGTATTAAAAGGAAAAAGGAGACAAAGAGCTTTTTTCTCCTCTTAGGAATAAATCTGGTTCCTTCAGAAGGGCTTCACAAGATCTCAAACACCAAAATTCCCACACTTAACAGATTCAAATGCTGAAAAACTAAGATTATTTGAATACCTCTTCTACCCACATACAATCCCTAGAAATCTTCAAAAAGAAGCTGTGGAAAAAACTTCTCAACACACAGACTGTAGACAAGCAACCAAGTCCAATAGTTAAAAACAAAAAAAAAAAATTAAAAAATTAAAAAAAAAAAGGAAGAATTGAAAGGAAAGGGGTAGGAAGTAGCAGACGACCAAAGTTTCTAGGAAATTATGCACATCAACAGCTTCAGTCAAAAAGACAGAAAGGCATCTTACAAGAAACAACTAAAAATCTTCCTGGAAATTGTTTAAGTTCCATCAATTGTGCCAACACAGAAAAAACCTGCACCATAGGAAAGAGGAGGAAAAAAATAATATCTTCTACTTAAATTAGTGGAATTTGGTAAAAGTAAATACAGTATTTCTTTTAATGCATACAAAGGACCAAAACAAAGCAGCAGACATGTTGAGACTGTGGAAACATGAGAGATGAAATGTTTAGTCTATCTACATATGAAAAAGTAAACTACTTTTGCAAAAGTAAATTAATAAAGCTTTAGAAAAAACTGGGTATATAAATACTTTTTATGGATGCCTGATACTAGTGATTACCCATATCTTCCAAAGGCAGCTTAGATCACCAGTAAGAAAAACTTCTATTCCTCCCTTACAAACTTTCTAATGATTATTGGTATGAAGTAATTTTCTCTCTGCATTTTTGCCTTTATAGATGAGCTTCCATGCAGCCCCTGAGCCTGCACTAGGTCCCATCCAGCGCAGGCAGGCGCTTGTTTCAGTCCATTCCAGCAGGAACAGGGAGAGGTTCAGGTGGCAGCTGACACCCAGAGGGACCTGGTCACGCTATAAAAGCAGCAACCATCTCTGCAATGAGGACACTCCAGCCCCATACAAAGCACAGCTGCACCAGCTGTGCTTATTGCAATCCCAGCTGAAGTTGCTCTCCTGGCACTTTTTCCTGCCCAGGGACCAGTTTTGCCCTCTCACTTCAACCACTGCAAGATGAGGTCAGCACAAGGCAAGGAGACCAACTTCTATCTCACAGTTCAAGTAAAACAAAAGAAAACTCCTAAAGTAACCCAAAGCAGGTTTTCTCAGGTACTGGTGGCTGCTTGCCCCAAGGCAAGCTGCTAGCCAAGCCAAACTTTGTGATAAAAATCTTGCCTCACCCAGCAAATTAAGTTCCTTGGAAGTTTGGTGTCCTGGTGACACAAAGAGCAGCTGCAGGACAGTGGAGCGAGATGACCCAGAGCAGCTCAGCCTCCAGAACGGAGCAGAGCACAAGACACTCAGACAAGTGGATTATGAAATCCAACAGGCCTGGACAAGTGGCCATGGGCATCTCCAATCATCTCCAAAAGCTCCTCTTTTCAGGGTGTTTATGGGACTCAGTATCAGGACCTGGGTTTTCTTGCCCATAAGTTTTCCAGCACATTCTAAATGGGTGGTTACCACAGCACCATATGTATCCAGCAAGCGATGCTCATACAAATAAAAACTAATTTCTATTTGGCAATAAATGACTTTTTACATTAGAAATGTTATTTGTACTTCATTTGTAGTGTGCTTTAAAAAGCACTAAAAAGATTTCTGGAACTGTTATATTATTTCAGCAAGAATGGAAAGCATGAGTTTAAGATTACTGATTTTAAAGATTGCTTTTTTGATGGGAGTGCCCCTCCTAACATGCAAAAAGAGTTCTCTGTATGTAAGAATCCAATTACTTTTTTAATATTGGGAGTTGTTGCAGCTTTGATCATCCTAAAAGATAGGAAAATACTTCTTATGTCTATTTTGTCTTCGGATGTTTGACTGCATCTTCTTTTATTGCTCTGTTTTGGAACTTGAATTTAGCATTCTCCTGTTATACCCAAATACTGTAGAGCATAAGAGAGCTGAATAAAAGGAGGGAAAAAAGGATTATATTCCTTACTTACAAAAATGAATAATTTCCTAATCTTCTTCTAAAAGCATAACATACTGCACAAAAAGTTTACATAATGCTGGACCTAATAAATATGTAATGTTAATATTGGGAGAGGAATTTTGAAATTACACTGACTCCAAATCTCAGCATAAGGGAAAAAAAACAGAACTAAACTACTTGAGTCTACTTGTTTAAAAAACAGTTCAGTTATTTGGCTCTTCTTCCTTTTCCAAGCCAAATTGCTATACCAGAGATTAACTCCCTTTTGTCAGAAAGTTACCCGCTATTAAAAAATTAATGTTAAAGTCCTCTCTGGAAAAAAGTGATATACTATGGAAAAAAATACTACAAAACTTTACAAAGATTATTCCCAAACTGCATCTAAAACCAAGGCTCACAACAACTCCTGCCATCTTTTTCAACATTCACTATATTGAAATAAAACAACTGAAGAATTGGGGGGAAGAACCTAGCCTGAAGGAAATACTACATTATCAAATAAAGTCACCAACTAAAATCCATTTTCACAATTACATGCTGTTCCCCTGCTCACCTGTCACTCAAAGCACAGTGACTCTGAAGAAAAGCAAAGTTACAATTTCTCTGTGAAAGAGATAGAGGCTCTTAACTAAAACAGTCTCTAAAGGGGGGCGGGGGAAGCCAAGACCAGGTAACAGGATTTTCCAGGCTTTATCCTTCATTATAGGTTATTTCAGGTTAAACAGAGGGTGCTCACTGCCTGCAGAAGTCAGAAAAGGTAACCCATTACTAACCCATATCACAGCATCAGTTATTTTAGGCTGCTTTAAATAGAGTTACGTGGTCACTTCAGGTGCACTGCGCACACAGCAGTGGTCTGGAACATGCTCAGTGCTCATCCTCGCTCCTCTCCCCATGTTTGGGGTCGTGCTCAGCTCAGCCACAGTTCTGAAATACAGCTTCAGACACCTGAAGTCCCATCCTATACCTACCCAAAATAATGAGCTTTTCTTTCTGCTAAAGGTAATTCATTATTTTCTACTTCACCTCTGATTGTCAGCAAAGGAATCTCAAGAAATAGAATATTTCAGTGACTTAGGAACCTGGGAAACACAAAATGGTACAAACAAGCTTTTCTGAAGTCTGAAAGGTGGATACTATTTCATAAAATTCAACAGCAAACCTGTGACAGAGGGATGTTGGTAGCACCACCATGACAATTCCACAACAACCAAGGATCACCAGGTGTTTATCAGGCCTGCTCTACCCAACTTGTACTTCTGTCAGTCACAGCAGTTTAACTCACCTGTAATGCTTCTATATATCACATGAAATCATTTTATATATTCAGAAAAGTCGGCCTCTCTGTCCTTTGCTTTACTCCCCAAAGTTCTGGGCAGAAAGCAACACTGCCTGCAGGAACTGTTCTGTAAGAGCACAGCACTCACTCATATGCCACGACACCCCACGCTGCAACAGCGAAATTTAGCTGCACTAAAAGCAGTTTCTCCTTCTGTATTTAACATTCCTCCAAAATACATATTCAACCTCAAATGACAGTGCTGCTCCTGTTACCAACGTTTCTTTTCTCCCCCCTCACATACAAGAAAGCCAACTACAAAATTCCCGTTTCAAAACGCGCTGCTTTGTCAAAAGGGCCTTTGTTGCCACGATCAGCACACTGGCAAAAGGGAAAATACAAGAAAGAGATCCTATAGAGGTAAAAAGAAAACTACACTAAAAACAGGAAGTGTGCAATGCTTTCAAAGAGGGGTCTCTACACCTCAACACGTGAGCTTGGAAAAACACAGCCTTTGGATTGGGGCTTTCACAAGAATTTAGTACAGTTAATTCTGTTCTGCCCAGGGGCTGGTGAGCTAACCAACCCTCTGCCTCTGAAAGTGCTGCTCAGCCTCCCCATCCTCTCTAACAGATGCCATCAATCCCGCAGATGCTTTTGGAAAAATCACCTCCAAAATATCGTTTGTTTTGAAGCAACTGCTGCAAACTGGAGGACACAAGGAGAAAAGCAGCACATGCAAATTCCAGCATTTCTATCAGTTAGTTCTGAAAGATGAGTTGCAAGCTCAGTCTTCCTCCCCACACCCTGTCTTTGTCTCTGCTATCTCGTTATGCAGGAGCCGGTCTCATTTCCCTGTTTCCATAGGTAGTTGTTTGAAAGAGAGGAGGGAGGAAACACGCAAACAAAAAAAAAAAAACCTGAAACAAAGAAAAACCACAAGTGTCGCAGAGACCCCAGGGCAGGGGCAGCTCCCCGAGCAATTTTTCAATGAAACTTTATTCCAGCTCATGGAATCCGTCCAATTCCAAACCGCCCCCAAGCCCGGAGAGCCACGCACCACCAGCGCATTGGGAATTGGAACACCCAGCCAAATTTATCCGTAAAAAAAATTAATTCACAAGCACGAGCGGTGCCACACCCTGAGCGAGCAACTCCAAGAGAAGCCCCCAGGAAGAAGTGGAGGGAGTGAGAAGTCCAAGGGCTCTCCACATGCGCTACCATAAAAGGTCCGCGGCAGCGCAGATAAAGCCGTCCCCGCCGCTCCGCCGGGATCAGTTTTCCCCGCTAAGTCCGCGTTAACACTTCGCTCTATTTATTTGCCATCTCACCACGCCGCTTCGTAATACAGTATTGACCTATTTTCCAGGTGCTTAATTAATCTCTCTGCTGGCTGCCACGCTTGTTAGAGAGTTGCTGTGCGTATTTTAAACTTAGTTTATAGAAAGCTCTAGCAAATTAGGTCTGTTACGGAATTATTATGTCAGAAAGTAGGACCTCGCAGTCCATCCCAGCTTTCCTATTTAACACATCAATCAGAGCCTGAACTTTTTGCAAACGATGGCATGGGAGATAATACTGGGTAGAAAATAAATAACCACAGAAACATGCATTGATATCAACAACTGCAGCTCTACCTAATGTAAACATCTCTCATAGTAACATACTTTCCCACAATTTAAAGACACTAAAATAACTGAAATAAACGAGGCGATACACAAGTAAGAAGACGCGAAATACACAAGCAGGAAGATGCAAAAACATCAGGGCGCCACTTAATTTCTGGCAACTATAGCCCTGGAGTCCCAAAAACTAAGTTAACAGAGAAGGAAACAATCGCAGTTTCTGACATTTTAAGTCAGATGCAACAGTTAGTAACAAAAGAATAGCCTCAAAAGAAAGCTCTTCATATATACGTGTAAGCACATAGCACTGACGACTGAGGGCTTGATCTGAATAAAAATAATTTTTACAAACTCATCACTATTTCCTACAGCGTTAAACACACGTAAAGGCACCTGCCAGCTTTACAACTGATACCACGACGAATCCAGAACAAACCCCGCACAATCCCTGCCGCAACCATTACGGCAAAGCCTCCGGCAAACCAACCCCTCTGTTTTCACAGACCTCGTTCTTGGGAACTGACCAAATTTTAAAGCGTCCACTTCCTTTCCAGTTGCTGTTAGTGACACCGGCCCTGGGCACCATTTGCCGCCCCGGCTTCCCCCCCAGCGCGGCTCCTCCTCGGGGGTCAGGGGCGAGGGTCGCGTCCCGCCGGGACTGCCAGGAGCGCCCGCGGCGGCGGCCGAGCAGGACCCGGAGCGGGAGGAGCCGCGGCCGCGCCCGGGCGCCGCCCCGGGACCCCCCGGCGCTCCCTACAAGGCGCAGGAGGAGGCGGCGCGGCCGGAGGGCAGCGGGGCAGCGCCGGCGCTGCCGCGGGCGAGGGGCGGCCACACCTCCCCGCCGGGCGGCGGCGGCCTCGCCCGGCACCCGGGGCGGCTCGGGGTGGGCGCCCCGCCGCGCCGGGGAACGGGAAACTTCGGGGACGCGGCGGGGCAGGGGGAAGGGGAAGCGGCGCTGCCCGCTCCCCGCCGCCGCGCTCGGCCAGGCCGGCGGCGCTGCCCCGGGCAGGGGGGTCGGGTCTGCCGCGGAGCCCGGCGCGGGCGGGGCGGAACGCCAGCGGCGGAGGCACAGACGGTGCCGCTCTCCGCCCGCCGGGGCCGGCCCCGCTCGCCGCCCGCCGCTCACCTTCACGGGTCGGGCCGCGCTGGCGTCCGCGCTGGAGCTGCCGCCGCCGCCCTGGGCATGTCCGGGAGCGCTCCGGGAAGCGCCGCTCCGGCCGGGCTCAGCCGCTCAGCCCCGCCGCTGCTGCTGCCGCCGCCGCCTCGGCCGCTGCCATCTTGTCCTGGCGGCTGCGAGGGAAGAGCCCCAGCTCAGCCCGCTCGACAGACCGGGCCTCCGCCTCATCTTCCCGGGGAGGGACCCAACCCGCCCCCGGCCGCCGCCTCCTCCGCCTCCGCCTCCTCCCGCCTCCGCCCTGCCCGCGGCGGCCTAGCGGCGTCCGCCACCGCCCATCGCTCCGAGCGGCGGGCCGCGGCCCCGCCGAGCGCTGCGGAGGGGGCGCCGGCCGAGCCCCGCTCCGGCGCGCCCCGGCCCCCGCCCAGCCCGCGGGGCGCAGCCTGCGGGGCGCTCCCGCCGCCGCCCGCCCGCTCCGCCCGCTCCGCCCGGCCCGGCGGCAGCGCCCCCGCCCGGCCCCGCCGCGCAGCGCAGCCGCCGCCGCCCCGCTCCCGCCGGCGGCGCTCGGAGCGCGCTCCGCGCCCGCCCCGCTCCGCGCTGCCTTCCCCTGCGCTCCTTCCCGCTGCGCTGCCTTCCCCCGCGCTCCTTCCCGCTGCGCTGCCTTCCCCCGCGCTCCTTTCCCCCCGCGCTCCCTTTCCCCCCGCGCTCCCTTTCCCCCCGCGCCCCCTTTCCCCCCGCGCTCCCTTTCCCCCCGCGCTCCCTTTCCCCCCGCGCTCCTCTCCCCTGCTCAGCGCCAGCGGACCTTCCCCCTGGGAAGTCCTGGGAGGACAACTTGAGATGCTCCTACCGCGAACTCTCCTCTCTGCCCGCCCCGGTCTGTCACTACCTCGTGCTTTGTCGGGGATCTCCGAGGAGCACCTGTAAAACGCCCAATAATCCTCCGGTGCTGGCCGTCCCAGTCAGCACAGCCCGAGCGGTGAGCTCTCCCTCCCACCTCTTAGCTGCCAGCTCCCCTAACACTCATTCCCAGATACAGAGCGTGCATAACCGTGAGCAAACCGGTGCCAGGACAAAGGCCTGACTCTCTCAGGACACCTGGAGCTTAGAAGATGATGACAAGGTGAGAATGAACATGTGAACTCCCAATTCATTTAAATGAGTGTTGTGGCCTTGTAAGACAAAGAGACTTCCCCAGCCAGCCCTGAAAACAACTGTGAAGCACCAACCTTCCAGATCTGGTCTGGCATCCTTCCCTGGCGAGCAGTCCTTGCCACGCTAGCCCGAGCCCATCAGACACACCAGCAGCTATAGAGGTAACAGGACAGGGCAAATGTATTGACCAGTTTTCATCCTGCATTACAGTTCAGCATTTTGCCTTGCTCAACTCTTCACAAAACAACGGGATACACCCCCAGTAACAACATGTCCCTAATATTACACATCACTTAAATATTAGTGGTTTGCAGGACTGGTCAGCTTCTGCAAACAGCATTCTTGACCCAAAATAGTGTTCAGCTGATGTGGGGTGAAAAAGGAATTACTGTTTCGCTGTAAAGTATTTAGCCCCAAGATAAATCCTTGGCTACAGCTACAACTGGACATCACATGCTTCTCCACCTCTTGCCAAAAATAACAAAGAATTTCTTTATTTACTTGCACAACTACACGTACTCTGCTATTTTTTTCTCACTACTTGTTCCAGTATTTTCAACACGTGTCTGCTTGATTTTAACCTTTATTTAGGACCAATCCTTGTAATAAAGATTGTTAGGATGTGAAGTCAGAATTTGAATTAATTAATTGGAGAAGCTAGACTTAATGTAGGGAAGTGCTGAAACCTAACATTGGCTTTACTACCACAACACCGCCAATTTTCTTGTAAGTAATGAGCCATATAATTTAGGGCTTGAGAAGAAATAGGTGGGTGTCAATGGTAGTAAATTACACCACTCAAGAGCTGCTCATAGCATCTATTGCTTACTAATTTTAGAAATATTAATCAAGCTCCTAAAAAAATAACATCCTACAGAGTTATTTCTACACTTTTTATTACCATATAAATAGACAGTAAATGTTGATAAACATTCTTGTTGATTACTTAACCATACAAAGTCTAAAATGGCTTTTTGAAAAGCACATTAAATATAAAATATGTAATTAATTAATAAATATCAGCCTGATCTGCTGATTCAATCCACACTTGATTTGCAAACTTAAATTGGTGTATATCACCCCAAATTGTGATCCACTGATGAGTCTCAACATAATTTTTTCAGCTGTTTTTTAGAATCTGTTTCTAGCAAATTTCTCATGTTTCACATGCACCTTCTTACAGTTTGATAACCAAAACAATCCAAATACAGTTGTAAATTTGAATTATACCGATCCTCTGCTAACAGGCAAAATGATGAATCCAGTCCTCCACAGATACTTATGCACAATATTCACCAACTTTCAGAAATAGATTTTAATTTGGATTTAGAAAAGAAGGGGTGACTTTGGGCTCATTAACCTCTCTTATCATACTGTTCTCTCGCTGGAATTTTGGGCTGGTCACGCTTGCTAAAATGACAGCACTTCCTGAAACATCCTGGCACTGTCAGTTCTGTCCTCATGTTCCAGTTTTTGCTAATTAGATCAAGCTACACTTCCACTCACCTTGCAACGGGAGTATCACCAGCGCGTAATCAAACTCTCAAATCTCTTCGAAACTCCTTGGGTTGCTTTTGTGGAGCACAGCACCCCTCTGCAGATCCATTGTTCGTCCTTATTTCCTTACAAGCTCCCTCAAGCAGCTCCCTTCTTTAGGAGCTGTTTCAATTAAAGGTTTCCTCAGCGTTGGGATTGGGGGCTGGCCAGAGCCAGTGTGAGCTGGAGTGATGAACCTCCTCTGTCAGTGACTCCTAGGGATTACTTTGGCCACAAAATAGTCTTGAAGTGCCCACAAAGCACAGTAACACAACATTAGATGTATCAGCGAGCTTTAAACACTCTGATGACCCTTTTTTATCACAGGTTAAATATGACTGTGTCTGAGAAACCCTCACATAACTTTTTTTTTTTGTCACCTGGGAAACAGCAAACACTTCCCTGTCCTGATTTTCTCTTGGTGGGTACATTTGTGCTAGTAAGCAACATAGGGGTTAATGTGGAAACTCCTGTTACACCTGTAAGTGCTGTGGGCTCCTGATACCGTTTGGAGGGGAGGGTTTTGTTTCAAAGTGCTTAAGTAACTCAGTGGAAGGAGGCCCCGTGTCATTTAGATTCATTTATGAAGTTCAGCACTGAAACACAGCCCCCGTGGGCTCCTGCTCCCCCTCGTCTCCAAGCCTTTGCAGAGGATAAGCACTAGTTAGGTGTGAGTGCTCTGAGTGGAAAATAAAACCCAGAAGTTAGAAGAAGAAGGTACTTCCAACAGATGTAATCTATTATGCAGCAAAAAGAAATAATCTGAGGACAAACACAGGCTAGAAGCTTTTGGCAGAACACCTACTAATGACACTTTGTGCTATTTTTGTTACCAAAATCCCAAGTGTAGATGCAGACTGCAAATGCTTTGGCTAGAACAATTTGTTTTACTCCTCAAACTGCTATAAGCTATATCATCAAAACACTTTTTACAGCCAGTGTGAGTTGTTCATATCAACTTATTAGTTGCCTGTATCAGCTAGACTCTTAATTTTTGAACAAGCTTGAGTCCTGAATGAGGCTCTGCCATCAGAGGTAAGGACAGGAGAAGGCAAGACCACAGGGCTGTAATTCCATCCAGAAGGCTCAGAATTACACCAATAACATAGATGCAATTGCATGGAACAGCGAGGCACAGTCCCAGTGCAAAGGGACAGAACTGGCCTCTCACAATTCTCCTGAGCAGTGAAATTTTCCCAGTGATGCCTCTCCACTGCTGGCACTGAGCATCCCATTCAGCAGATTCAGCTCACCCGGCAGAAAAGGCTTTCTTTGGGTCAGGAAAACATTCAGGGACTGTCAGAGCTGACACAAAGTGGAAGGCAGAGTTTTTCTTTGGCACCTGGATGGGAGAGCTGAGTTTCCTCGGCAGAAATGATGAAATCCAAACAACCCACAAGCTGCTTGGCAATGTGTTGTTGTGACCCCTGCAGGTGTCCAGGCCTTCACAGGTGGAACAAGCAAAGATTCCACTGAAATTTTCCTTTTTATAAAACTTGCAGGCCACAGTCTTTAGTATTTCCTATAGTATTTAATAATTTGTGAAGTAGGGAATTAATTCAGGGATTCAAATTATAGGATTTGAAATTACAGTATTTACTGGTTTTCATATTGGCTGGAATATTTTATGCTTACAGTATTTATCCTTCCCAATCAGATATAAGACTGGACAAAATTAAGTATTGTTTTTTCCTCACAATTTCTTATCTAAAGCATTTTTTAACTGATGCTACTGTCACGTAAGTATGACTTGCATTATGAGAAACAAGCATTCAATATTCTGCATTTGGATCAAAATTTTTCAAGATCCAAATTCTTGTGGAAACATGTAAAGGGGTCAGAGTTAAACTGATAAAACGTGCTCTTTTAAAATATAAAAATTTAAATGTACGCTTCCCACTGATTACTATCATATTCAGATAAGCATAGTTCAAAGTTCCCCATTTCCCCTCCCCATAGATGTGTTTGCTAGATACATCCAAAATCCAACCTTGCTGGGTGTAAATGGAAAATTACTTCCAAATTTAAAGCAAACATGTACTTTGCTCCTTTTGCAACAACTGGAAGGTCAGTTGAGAAGCACTGTGTTTCCTCAACTAAAACCACACAGATTTCTCTATGCATTTTCCACTGAGACATTTGCAAAAACAAGCACAAATTTCACCTTCCACTTAATTTTTTTTCAGATTTAATGCAGGACTTAAAAAAAAAAAAATAGAAGGGGTGGAGGTTGGTGAAAGTATTTGTTTATTGTTTGCTGTTTAACTTACAAATTCAACAGCCTGGCTCCTCTGGAAAGATTTAAAAGCTGCTAGGGACAGAAAATGCTTTCTGTGGGCTAATGGTGGGTTCTGGGGCTTTGTGCCTGCTTGTGCCAATGTTCATTTCAGAAATTCACATTGCACAGGTCCCTGTGCATCCCCCAAGGGATGCATGAGGAGCCATCCATCCACCGGGGCTCTTCCAAAGAAAATCAGATTAAAGCATTCTTCAGATTGCCTGTCTTTCGACTTGTTCCTTCCTCAGCTTTTAAAACCCAGCTCCAAGAAACCTCCTGCACCATCCTGACATTGCTATTTCAAATTCTGCCAGGTAATGGTAGAATTTGCTCTTAGGAAATAAATTTGCCTGGTATCTAAAGGTGACTAAAATGGTAATTCTTAGAAAATGTAGAAGGCAGGGTGGCTAAAATGGTAATTTTTAGAAAATGTGAGAAGGAATCTGAAATATTTTTGGTTATCATGTGGATAAAAGCTGGCTAACTTGAGATGAAATGCACTCCTCATCCAAACTAAAACACTGATCCCCTAATTTTTCACATCACAGAAAGACAGAATAACTGCACTGTAGAATCATTAAGATTGGAAAAGACTTCCAACTTTAACAGAAGAGTGATATTTATGTACAAGGCAAAAGGAAAAAAACATAAGTAGAAAAATACAATTAATTTCTCTTGAAATTACATAAATACCTACTAGTTCAATTTAGGTTTTACAGAACTTTTCTCTTTCTCTTTTTTTTTTTTTTTTTTATTGTTTCTTTTCAACCTTCTTGTCCTTTTCAGTGCCATAGTTGTTGAAAGAGCTAACTGGGACAACTATAATTTAAAAATATGGCACCCTGCTAATTGTCACAGATGATTTTGTTCAGGGACACTGTGAGATATTTATTTCTCTGCTTGTGTTCCTATTACATCAGTAGGTGTAGACTTGACAGATGCTTCATTGCTGTGTTTTAAACTATGGAAAGATCTTGTTCATATTAACATATTTTCTTTAACAAAGAGTTAAAGAAATGCAATATTTTGTGGGGTGGTTGAAATATCTTTACTGGATCATGTAAATGCTAAGGTATCATGCTAAGGTATCATAATATTTTTCAGACTGTATTTTCATTTTCAGTCCGATTTTCCTTTCTGCTGGAGCCATAGAAGTAGATCATTCCTCATTCATGTTCCTTAGGAGATCCACAAGGAAAGGGTCTGTCTTCGGGAAAGGTGCCACAATAATGTACATTTCTAGTCTGACACTGTCAATTTTCTTGCATTTTCTTTACTATTTCCATGTAGTCATTCACCTCTGTGGTGTCTGGGTGTTTTTCACATAAGTGTATTTAATAATTAC